AGAGAGAGAGAGAGAGAGAGAGAGAGAGAGAGAGAGAGAGAGAGAGAGGGAGAAACTAGTGTTATTGGACCAGGAACTATTTAGTTTGAATTACGGCTACCAGCTCCTAGTTGGGTGACTTACTTTTAACTTCAGTCTCCTTATGTGTAAAATAAGAATAATATATAACAGTACTTTGTGGGGTCATTGTGTGAATAAAATACACTAACATAAAGTGCTTAGAACAGCATCTGACACATAGTAAATGCTAAATAAATGCCAGTTATTAACATGATCATGATTCCATACTTTCCAGTCCTTCGTACAAATAAAAGAAGCTATCAACAAATACTTGTTGATCTGAGCTGAATGTCAAACCAAGTGAATGGGAATATATGATGAGATTTATCACTGATCTATTTTTATCCTCCTCTGCCCCAGGCATATTTCTCCTTCAAAATGGGAATCTTCACCGGAGGCAGATTATAAATGGATGAGCAAGAAGCACAGGGAGAGTGGAGAAAGTAAGCTAAGGAAAAAGCTCACCTTATCAGCACAGGGAGTAAGCAAGTTGCAGCCCATTCAGGGAAAACATTTAACTCCAGATTGTATGCTCACTGCAGTTTTGGAACAACCCCCATGAGAGCCTCTCCTCCCCCTCACACACAGAACTGCATGGGTGCAATCCAACTGTTATTTTAAGCTAAGAGGTTTGTGATTAAGGTGAATTTATGTACTGAACCCAAAAGATGATCTTCATGGCTCTTTTTTTATGGTTCTTTGTTTGCTTGCTGGTTTTTAACATAATTTGGGGACTTAGCTTGCTTTCTGATTTACTTCCTTCTCCTAAAAACCAAGGGTAGGAGGAAAAAATAAGAACTGAAGGATCTGGCAGCTAAACTCAGGGGAATTAAGATTTGCACGTATCACTAGCTTGTGGATTACTCTCCTTTCTGCTGTGCTCCTTCATGTGAACACATAATCAAAAGGTAAATGTAGGGCCAGGGATTTAGCTCAGTGGTGCCACTGCCTGCCTTGCAAGTGCAAGGTCCTGAGTTCAATCCCTGGTACCAAAAAAAAAAGTAAATGTAGAAATGAATACTACTGCAACTTACTAGGGACCCTAAGGACACAGGAAAAGCATGAGGCTTTGTTTCATGAACAAGCCAAGTGAAATCATCACACTAACAGAAAACAATCATCTTCCTAGCCATTGGCTATCCCTAAGATCACTATTGAAACAAAGAAGTAATGTCTTCAGGACACAAACTGCTCTGACTGTATAGTCTCCAATCGAAAACCTTAAAAATATCAGAGCTATATGATTAGCCATCAAAATGAGTTTATTTCTTTTTACTAAAGTGAAAAGATACAATGAGAACCACTACCAAAAAATTCAAAATTAATGCTGCTACTCCACCCCACACAGAAGGACCTGAACTAAACCAAGTCCAGTTCCAACACTTGCTTGCAGACCAGACAATGAAAAACTTAGATTTGAATTATGCTACACAATCAAGGATAAAGGTCTCTGTAATCTCCACGCAGACTATCTCCTGCACCTGCTAAAACAATCCACTCTGTATGTCAACAAGTACACAATGGGCCCTTGTATTTTTTCTCAGAGATGAGACTACTGGCAGCCAGATGTCTCTAGTGAGTGGGTGTGGTTGGGAAGGCAGATGTGGGACCAGCAGGCCTTTCTTCTCCAAGTAAAAGGAAACTTCAAGAGCCAGCAGCTAAGACTATTGTGAACTACAATCCATAGTGTCTGTATTTAAAAGTTGATTTTTAAAAATACTCCCAAGCCAGGAGTAGGGGCATGTGGCTATAGCCCTAGCTACCCCAGAGGCTGAGGCAGGAGAATCACTTGAACTCAGAAGTTTGAGGCTGGCTTAGGCAACACATCAAGAACTCATCTCAAAAAATAAAAAATAAAATACTCCTTTAGGGTGGCAGCATGGGGGTATGTCAGTCAAAGGACATAAAATTTCAGTAAAGAATAAGTTCAAGAAATCTACTGCACATCATAGGGACTATAGTTAATAACAATGTATTGTATACTTAAAAATTCCTGAGTAGAGTTTAAATATTCTCACCATAAAAAATACTCTCACCACAAAAGACATGTGAGATAACACATATGCTAAATAGCACAATATATACATATACAAAACATCCTTTTAGGGCTGGGTATTTAGCTCAGTGGTTCTGCCACCTGCTTGCAAGCACAAGGTCCTGAGTTTGATTCCCAGTACAAAAAAATCATTTTGCCTATCATAAATACAATTTGTGTTTGTCAATTTAAAAATATTTACACCCCCCAGGTTAGTCCCATAATTGTAGCAACCTGGACATCTGTCTCTTACAGGAATAAGATATGTGAAGATTTGGTGGGATTTCCAAAAGTCAGGGTGCCCTCAAACATCACAAATTTGTCTTAGAGAAAGACTGGATCTGTCATCCATGAACATAAGCTAACTGTTTTTGAAACACCCTAGTACTTTTCTATCTATATCACTCCTCAGAATAATGATATGCATACACTTCTGGAAATAGAACTCTCCCTTGTCTTCTGCGTACTAAGAGGCCTTTCTCCTTCTAGGGGGTTAGAAGTCCCTGAAATTTCATGAATGCAACCATGTTCCTACTAAGTCTGCATTTCTGCCATCTAAAAAGACATCATCATTTTAAGCCATCCTCTACCACCTTCTTGATTGGTCTTAGGTTTCCACAGCTGGACAAGAGGACAGAGCTCTCATATGTCCCTATGGGCCACATAGTGGTATTAATATCGGTAACCAGCAGTGCCAGGCTGGGCTAGTACACCATGCCTCATTCATACTCTGTCCCAGCATGCTAGTTCATTGAAGGGATAATGATAAGGATATAGACTTCAATTCACATGAAGAAAAAACTCAAAAACTACTCCTAAATGGACTCATAGATGGACTATACCTCACAGACTGGCAGTTTGGATTGGTGATCTATACATTTCTTTGCTTCTAATTCTCACTAACAAATTTCTTGCTATGTTTTCCATGTTTTGTTTGTCTTTTATCAGTAAATTCAATCAGCCAAAAAGTATTTATCAGTCTAACAAATGAAGAACAAGAGAAATAGTTAATTTTATTGAGGAAAACATAACGAATATGAAACAGTTAAAGAGTAAAATAAGACCAATAACCAAGTGCTAGAATGGTGATTCTGACTTGAAGGACTAGACATGGTCAGAAAACAGTTCTCTTGGGGAGCTGGAGGCTGCTTGTAACTACTCCAAAAGCAGTTGTTAAGGATGACTTTAAGGAAGAGCCATGCTTAAAACAGCAGGAAGGGTCTAAGGAGCAGAGCCCATGGTGCCCTTTGGTCTAACATGATAGGAATAAGCCTTTGCTATAAGTAACTTCTCATATGGATGGCTATCTTCTTACTACCACCTGCTAC